GCTTTTGAATTAATAATTGTTGTTTGTAATTTGAATAAGTGGCGAGTTTGTGGTTCAATCCTTCTCGTTCAAGGAAAATGGGCAGCCACCGAAATCATTTAATCATCAACGGAACTTCCGTGGCACGGAGACCTGAAAGCTAGCTCTGAAAAAAGACAAGAGAAGAACATGCAGGCGCAAGAAACGCATACGGCGGCTGCGAGCGAATTGCGCGCAAACCACCTCGGCCAGATGTCTGGCGGAGGCCATGTTCGTGGGGCTGTCTTGGTGCGGGCGCGAGCCGGCCATCAGCACGGGGAAGCGCGCATTTTTGGCAACAAGAGTTTGCATGGCAGGTCAGCACTTTCAGAAGGTCAGGTCCAAATTGCGCGGCAGGCGCAGCGCTTCAGGTACAGCAACATGTGCTTGTGCGCTGCGCCTGTCACGAAATCTATACCTGTGAAGGTGCTACACTTGCAATGAAACCTGCGCCAGACTTGTCAAATGTTCTGCAGAACTGTGCACTTGACCTGGTGAAGTTCTGCGCCAGTCGAGACATCTACATCTGACCTTGCGAAAGCGCCGCGCCTGCCACTCAACGTGCTTTTGCCTTGCGAAAGCGATGCGCCTGCCACGCGATCTGCGCCTGACGAAGTCTGTCCTTGAACTTGGGAAGGCGCTGCGCCTGCCACGGACCCCCAACCTGCGCCGCCACGAAATCTACACCTGACCTTGCGAAAGCGCTGCGCAGATTACGTGGCAGACGCAGCAAGAGATTTAAGCGCCAACGTGGCAGGCGCATAATATTGGATGGATGCATGGATAGATAGGGAAAAAAACGCAAAGACCCCAGATAGCATGGGACATTTCAGCGGCACCCTGACCAACACCCTGACTTCATCGCCAAACAAGACGGCCAGCAACCACAGCGACCAAACAACACCCAAACTGCATGCCCCTTAGCACCCTGCCTCCATCTCGCAAACATGTGCCCGCACCGTCACCAGCACCTCAAACAGCACACCTTCACCAGCACCTCAAACAGCACGTGCACCAGCACCCTAAAGCGCATGCCCCCTAGCACCCTGCCATCAATCTCGCAAATCACTTTTCCTTGGTGATTAGAAGTTAGAACCCCTGTATCTTTCAGCTGTCTGGGGAAAAAGGTTGCTTAGCTAGATAGACGGGACAGACAGACAGCAGACAGACAGACAGACAGACAGACAGACAGACAGACAGACAGACAGACAGACAGACACACAGACAGACAGACAGACAGACAGACAGACAGACAGACAGACAGACAGACAGACAGACAGACAGACAGACAAATAGATAGACAGACAAATAGATAGATAGACCAACGAATGGATAGATGGATGGATAGATACATAGATAGACAGATAAACAGATAGATAGAAAGAAACAAGACAACAAACAAACGAGAAGGAAATGAGAAAAAGGGAAACACTAATGACCAGCGTCCTCTGGATTCCTACATTTGGCCCTCACGCCCCAACCCCACCCAACAGAAAACAACAAAAACAACCGCAACAACTTGTTCAACAAAGCAAACGTGCTGCTGAAGAACAAGAGTAGTTCAATGAACTCGACCCTTGAGTCTGAAACTAGGGACGCTTGAAATGCTTGACTCCACTCTGATTTCCCTGTAAAAGTTTACTATCTTAGCGTGCTGTCACCATGCCTTTCGGCTCGTTCCGTTTCCAGTTTGTTCTGTCTTCCCTCGCACACATCTCCAAGAAAAACACTCCCTCGACAAATGATGCATAGTTAAACCCCCGCCCCCCTTTCACAAAGCCAGCACAAACTAATATGACATCAGGTTGCTGGGAATTTGTTTTAAAAGAAGATGTTCCGTGAGTTTCTCAGCTCACTCACTATGCAGAGTTTTCTGCTAGGACACAGCCAACGCCACCTGTTCAAAAAAGCCCAGCTGGTCTTTGGGCCATTGTTGATTGGCCCAAACCGGAAACTGTTTCACCGAATCTGGGACTTTCAAGATGGATTGTTTGCTGTCGGCTTCTGCTTCACCAACCCCAAAAGTCACATGTTCCAGGCGTCAGCCCCCTCGTCCAGCCCCCCACCCCCCACCCAAAACCCACCTCGTCAGAGTCCGTGTTCGGGTCAGGCTCAGCCGGCTCAACTGGCGAGAAGGAGCTTCAGTAAGCGTCAAAGGCTTTAAGAGTGGAACAGGCCTGGCTGCCCTTACAGGGAAGCCAGAAGGTGGCTATTTAAACAAGTTGTCTCCAAATCAAGGAGGTTCCCCAAAAAAACAAGGCGGGTTGTTGGGTACAAGGGGTAAATGCTCAAGTCTGAACCCAGGAATTAATGTTCATGCTGTTCTACCATCATCTTAGCGAGCAAAGATATCAGGTTTTAGGCCCTGCCGACTCAGACTGCTTCGCAGGCTTCGCACGCAGCCCATTCGAAGCACAATTTGACAATGTGTCCCCTCAGACGGCTTCCCCTATGACCACAAGCGAGGGACTTGAAAAAGCTCTTAGGCTCCCTTCAGATATGGGATCCTTTGGCGAACATTAGGAATTCATGTCCGGACTGTTTGGAATCTGCCACTATCATGGTTCACAACAGGCCGATGCGGTTGTTGAGGGTCCCCTTCCTCAGAGGGGTCAACAGTAAGTACTTGGATGGCTTGGGTAAGCTACTCAAATTCACTGGAGGACAACTGGGGGTGGCTAATCGCCTAACTGCCGCCTATCCCGTTTCAAAGGTGGCAGAATGCAGGGCCAGGGTCCAAAAACTGTCTGACGCCCCATCAACTGAAGTCAAGAGTAAGATCTTCAAGCAGCCCAAAACAGATCTTCCAAACACAGTGTTTTAAACTGGCCGCCCGCGGCTGAGCAAGGGCCAATTCGGTGAAACTGGCCGCCCGGCCGCGGACGGCTACTTTGACCGCGGTTAGTCGACGCTGTACAAAGTAAACTTCCATGCGCTTCTGGGTGTTGGCTCTGTTTTGGATACACTTCCACTGTCCGAGAGTGGTTTCGAACGTGGCTTCCCTGATACATGTTTGAGCCCTGTGCAGGAAAAGGGACGGGCAAGCGCTTGCCATCTGGAATGCCACAGGAAAGGGAACCTCCAGGGGAACTACTTGCTCGTTGCCCCTCCATGAAGCAGATTCGGGCGCAAGAAAATCCCAAGGCCGACCTTGCACTTGAGAAGTCTCTAACTAAGGAGTGGTTCTTCTGGCCAACTTCCCTCTCTGATCCAAAAACCGGTTGAAACTGCCGAGTTTTGAACGGACAAGGACGCCCTAAGGGGGCGAAGCCAAACGCGCCGCAGTAGCACCACCCTCGCGCCTGTCGCCGAGTCCCCTGGATCCAAGATGGGCGAGCTCACACATGCCCACGTCTGCAACCAAGGGGACCTCGCCCAAAATGCAAGCAAAGTGGAAAATAACACCAGAGCGATCAAAGAAGGTCGGATCTGGACTGTCACCCGCCCGTCAGGGCCCCAGGTGGGCCTGTGGTATACAGGAGCACCCGCAGAACCATTTGGGGCTCATCCCCACGAAAGAAGCTATGTCCTTACAGAACTCCAGGCATGTTTCTTCAGCTCTCTTTAAAGCAACATTTCCTTGGCTCCCTTCCAACCCACCTAGCCAGACGCACGTACCATAACCACCCCAAACAGGACCTTGTTAACAAGTCTTGAGGGAGCAACCCCCACCAAATGCGCCTGTTTCTTGGAAAGTGCCCCCGGTCTTAATCTGCTTTCAAGGGCAAGTTTTCACCGCCAACCCCCTCCCCCCTCCCCCCGACCCCCCCCCACCCACCTACACTAAGCCCTACCTCGTAGCGGCATGGTCACCGTGTCTGGGTGGTCTGGGTCTCCGGGATGCGCAAACCTCGCGACACCAAGAAGCTGCCCAGCCCGAACGAGATGCTTGTGCCACTTTTTGGGGATAGGCTTAGGCGTGGATCAACCTTTCGGTTTTGGCTTGGTGGGTCACAAAAGTGATCCAGATCCCCTCTCAAATGGCACACCCTCAATTCCTCTACTAATCAACCAGGGGCTTGCGGTGTAATCCTGAGGCTTTCAGGGAGTCCTATATGGAAGCCTAGCTTCCTCCGGGTTAACTGCGGGAGTACAGTACTGTTTTAAGTTTGGCACCTGTCCCAGTTCCTGAAAATGCGCAGGACCAAATATCTTTGCTTTTGGTGGGAAAATTTTGCCCTGGTTCAACTCTCTGTCTTTTCTTGCTGGTGCAATAGGTAGGGATTGTGGAAATGAACCCCGGGATTCCCTCGAAGGAAACCACCAGTTGGTTGGTTTAGCCTATCGCACCAGCAAGTTTGCAAGGCCAGCCACCAACTTTCCAAAACTTAGCCGACAAGCCATTGGCGAAATTTTGTTGGCGTGGTCTTCGTCTTGATTTCAGACCTTTTGAGCTTGACCTTTTGATCGGGAACTCTGGCTCCCCCCTTTTGTGTATCCCTATTAAGGGGCTTTCAAAACCAAAGGCCGTGCTGGGGCATCCTGATTTGGGTGAGTTGTCCAGCATCCTTCACAAGGCGGCGCAGGGCGGCAGCAGCCCCCGGGCAGGTTGAGGGTCAACCTTGCGTGGGATTATGAAGGAACGCAACGGAATAGGCGGAATAGGGAAACAACATTTTCCCATAAACGACTAAATTACATGTTCCCTCAACAATTTTCCGCCCTTTGAGGTCAAAGAACATGTCACCAGAACACATCAAAAAACATCAGAGTTCTACCCTGGGGCGCAACAACTCTATGGCTATGGGTCAAAATCCCGTACCCCAAAGAACAGCCCAATCCCGACTAAAATAAACTAAAATGGGTGGTGCAATGCACCTACCCCAAAATGGTACCATTGGTTTTGACCCACAGCCATATCTGGGTCCTCGACCGTCGAGCCAAAAATATTCTCGCCTCGCCCGGTGCGCATCTCTGAAGTTGTGGCAGCCCGCGCCGTAGCGGCAGCTCGTACGCGCGGGCCCCGGGGTCACGGGCGCGCCCTCGGCCAAGGCAGCGGCTCGCACCCGCTTTTGGCCGCGCTGAGGGGGAACCGGCACAAGGGACGTAAGGCAACATGTGGCAAAATATTCCATGGAGCATTTGAGTATTTGAGGTTGAAATTAGGCGCACCCACTTTTCCCCCCAAAAAAAAACATAAACAATACCAAAGCGGGTGCTAAATGGGGTTTTAGTTGGGGGGGGTTCCCGTTTAGTAGGTGAAAAGAAGAGCGTACTACTTTGGCACATTGATCACACCCAGCAAACACTGACGCACACACACACACACACAGAGACACACACACACACACAGACACACACACACACACACACACACAGACACACACACACACAGACACACACACACACACACAGACACACACACAGACACACACACACACACAGACACAGACACAGACACAGACACAGACACAGACACAGACACAGACACAGACAGGGACACGGACACGGACACGGACACGGACACGGACACGGACATGGACACGGACACGGACACGGACACGGACACAGACGCAGACGCAGACGCAGACGCAGGCGCAGACACAGACACAGACGCAGACGCAGACGCAGACACACACACACACACACACACACACACACATTTTCACATTCCTATAATCACCACTTGTGGCTTTGAACTACGACGCATTTCGTTCCATATGGTAAAGATTGCCCTACTTGATCGTTCGAGATTGCCGCGAGCATGGATTCAAAAATCATCTTTTGAGTCTCCATTTGGGCGATGTTCGAGGGGCCATGTTGCCCCCAATCCTCAGTTTGCAGCATCGACCACGCCGATCTCCACGCGGAAATCAAAAATAGTCAGTGCTCAGTTTTTGCACATCGACCATGTCAATCTCCACAGCGGGCCGCGCGCACAAACCTAAAAGTAACACAAGTCCACCGTTTTGCGCGTCAAACATGCCGATCCACAAAAAAGGGAGTCATTTTCGCAGAACGCCGCCTTCAAAGACAAAGTTAAGTTTCTAGTCCAACTAGTTTCCAAAATGTCTCACCAACTTTCTCAAGCAAATTGGCTCGTGCAATTTGCTGCGTGCCTTCTCTCGTGAACTTTGCTGCGCGCGCTCTCTCGCCCGATTTGCTTTTGCCCTGCGTACGCTCTCAAGCACCTTGCTTTGCGCGTGCGCCTCACATGCGCTCGCACGGCTCTTGCTGCGCGCGGGCCGTTGCGCATCTTACTCTTCGCGCGCGCTCGACATGCACTCTCGCGCCTCTTGCTACGCATGGGCTGTGGTGCGTCTTGCTCTGCGTGTACGCTAGACATGTGCTCTTAGGACTCCCTGCGCGTGCTCTCATGCATCTTGCTCTGCGCGCGCTCATGCGCCTTGCTGTAGGCGTGATTGTCAACTTTCGGTATTAAGTGGCCAGGGTTGTATTTAAGGAAGGGGGGTTGTCGCCCCCCGCGCAAGTTCACTGATCCGCGCGCGATGACGAAATGAACCCAACATGGCCGCAAGTGCGTCAAAGTAGGCTCGCTGACCTCCAAACAGGATATCGCCCACCGACCTTGGGATCTGTTGAAGGGGTTGTCACCCCAACAGCTTACACACGGTGTTTTCCGTCCTTGCGCGGGACTATTGTTTGCGCAAATGTCAAGACACGCGATCAAGACACGCGGTTCGAGTCCGAGTACCATAAAACCAAAAAAGCACCTTTTTTTTTGCTTACCGACTTTGTGTCGCGACAGTCCCCGACCCCCCCCCCCCCCCCCGCCCGCCGGCCGTATACAAAAACTTGTTTTTGTAAACAGCTTGTGGGTTGGGGAGGAGGTCCGGGAAGCCTTAAAACTCCCCCCCAGTGTTTTTAAGGAATTGTGTCGGGGGGGGGGGGTGAGGCCCACTGCCCCAGGCGCCTATCCCCGGAGGGAACTGGAACCTTGTGGTAGTTGAGGTCGTTGTTGGTCCCTGGATCTATTCCGGAGAGAGTCCAATATGCCAGTAATGGATGATTGGAGGATGGATTGTCCCTGGTGGATTGTCTTATGGATAATCCTGTAAGCGGCCTGCAATGGCTCTTGTGTCCTCACGCTCGGATGGTCGTGATTATGCAAAAGGGGCCTTGAGCCAAATGTTGCGGGAGATCAATGGTCTGAAAAACAGAACACAAAACAGACACAAACTTCTTTTGATCTCCAGCACAAAGTATGAAATACTATTGGCTTCATGGCCTTTGACCGTAGCCTTAATGTGTGCCGTAGCCATGTGATTAAAAGTGCCGGATTCATCCTTTTTCTGCTTGGATGAAAATGTCTTGGCCTTCGAAATGGGAAACACTATGTACGCTTCTTTTTGGATACCTAATTGTATCAAAGGGTGATGTACAACGCTATGTACACGCGGAACAGTTGTGAAACTATTGATCTCTCACTCATGGTATAGTCTTGTAGACGAGGAGGATCAATCATCTGGATTGCTCGTGGCGCTGAACGTATCTTCATGGTCAGTCGGATCGACGATACCATCGGCGGCTGCTGTCGGATTGACTGCCATGGTCTCCATAATCATTCCAGGTCGAAGCGCTATAGTCCTTCCACTGCTTCTGATATCCCCACTGCTTGTTGTAGTCCTTGTACTCCTGCGTGGTCCAGGATGATTGCTTCTTCTTGACGTAATCCTGGTATTTGCAGACTTGCTGCGGATGTAAACCATGAGAGGACTGTGGGAGTCGGAGTCCTGCGAGCCGTTCATGAACATTTCATCGTTCACGTGCTTGTAGCGCTCTGCGGATGAGACCTGGTAATCGAATATGGCCTTGTTTGGATGGTTCCGCATGAATTCCAGTTGTTCATCATCCATACCGTTCATCTCGATCTTCCGGAAATCCTGCTGGATGTTCGTTTTGCCCCATCCAAATACGATAGTCATCATCACATCTGGGAATGTTCGATCAAAACCTGATCCGCATTTCATGTGCAGGTGATGACGGACAATGGATTTCAGGGTGCACAAGTCTCCACTGTATACTCCATTCTGTCCACGAGTGGCAAATTCTTCGTCGCGTTCCACAGTCTCTGATATGCTCTCATGAGGATGCTCACGAGACCGTTGGTTGGATTGTAGACATGCTGGAGTTTGCTGTAGGTGTTCGCCGATTTGTTGGCGTCTCCGCTGATCGCATCGCATCGGTACAAGGTCACGAGCGGCATGATTTCATTCTGAAGATATTCCTTTGCTGCTCCATGCCCTCGTTATGTGGCGATCGTCATACTCGTAGTATGACTTGTCGGATGATTTCGGGATCATGCCACGAAACTCATCACTCTGCTCGATGTGGAGAACAACGATCTCCTTGTCTCGGCCATGTCCTTGGACAATGGTGCGTGCTGTCTCGCTCCAATGGGGGATAGTCGTTTTATCGTAGTGGCCGGTGGCCGGTGGCCGGTGGCCGTTGGCCGGTGGCCGGTGGCCGGCGGCCGGTGGCCGGTGGCCGGTGGCCGGTGGCAGTGGCCGGTGGCAGGTGGCCGGCGGCCGGTGGCCGGTGGCCGGTGGCCGGTGACCGGTGGCCGGTGTTCGCCTTTGCGGCTCAAAGCCCTGTTGTCAAGTCTACGAAGACAGCCATAGAGCCATATCCTCAGCCGCATTGAAAGAAAAGGCAAGCTGCGCTCCACCACACACCACAATATCCCTGCCCTGCTACTGGGGGCATCCCTCAGTTGGGATCTCACGGGTAGCCGGTGGTTGGTGGCCGGCGTTCCATCGCGCCTGGCTGCGGGGTGGCGCATTGCCTCAAACGCCAGGGGAAGACCGAATGAGTATTTGCAGCCAACCGGGAATCAGCTGACATTGCTTTTGCCCTGTGTTGTGACGCCGGTGCGTGCGCGCGTGATTGCTTCGACCACCGCTCCATGCCCCAGCTTAGTACCTCGGTGAGGGATCACAGGGGGAAGAGCTTTAGTACCTGCGAAGTGGGCTGTCTTGCCAAGTGCCCAAATCCAACTCGAGCGGCTTGGGGGCGGGCCCATCGGACGATGCTTTCCCCACCCTTTCCTTGCTCGGAGTTGAAGGCCCGGATCGTTGAACTCCTTGCTGGAACCTCAAGGGCTCACTCACTCTGATGTCTTGTTGTCGGCGAGCGGTTGTCGCAGGGGCATGAGTTCCAACCCAAGCATTTGACATGAATGGCTTGGCGAAATTCACTGGTTGTTGAGAAGGCAGGATAATGAATGTTCGGGAACCATGCGCAAGGAACGGCCTGACCAGCTCAAGTCTCAAGTGGGTTCATACCAAGATGCGCGCCAACCAGCCATCACCGGCCGGTAGGTGGAGTAGAAGGCTGAGGCTGCCTAGGCTCTACCAAGGGGCTAGAAGGCTCTTGCGCACAGCGCCCGTCAGCAGACTCTGGAAGCTTCTGTTGCCCGGCCTGCCGGTCATGCCACAAAGCTCTGCGCTTGGAGATCTCGCGGATACTGACCCTGCAGCACTGCATCGCTTCATTGTGGTACTGTGTCTGGTTGGCGATGTTGGAAGACCAAGCCCGGAGGATCACCGTCGTGTCACCCCCCTTCTTTGCGTGTGCTGAGACACGCCCAAGACGAGGGAAAAGCTCACAGGCTGTCGTCAGGACTTGCAAGGCCTCAAGCGGCGGAGCGGCAGCATCATACAAGTTTCGTCACAAACATGACCCGCGCAAAGTCCCATGTCAGCCACTACATAGAACATCAGGCTACAGCCTGCGCAACCTGCAAGAACAAAGTCACAGTAAGGCAGGCAGGGGACATTTGCCTGGCTTGGCCTCGCTTTCCTCCTCTTGTCACCGACCTGCTTCACAACGTGGTACACGTCAACGACCTTGGACAACTTGATCTCGCTGCGGCCTAGCAACAGCAGCTTCTGGAGGAGCTCGCGGTCTTTCAGGAGGCCATCCTTGGACGCTAGCAGCATGCAGCCATTGTTGCCGAAACCTTTGGCGAAAAAGGCTGCCGGCGCTTCCAAGTCAGAGAACTTCAAGGGGAGCTGCGCAG